GACTCCAGAGAGCACAAGAGTAACCTGTACCAGGCCAAAAGCATCAAGGATTTGAAGGAGCAAGTCAAAGTCTACGAAAGAATACGGATCAATAAGCCCTCATCGTCGAACTCGAACCTGGTTCAGCCAATGTCTTCAAACAAGGCTTCGCCAAGTTCAGGGTCAACAAAGAAAAGCTGTTTTAATTGCGGCGACATTTCGCATTTCGCACGAAATTGTCCACGTAAGCGAAACATTACGTGCTTTAAATGCGGTAAAGAGGGGCATCGTGCCTCAGACTGTAAGACGGCAGGCAAATCGGCCATATCTGAGAGAAATCTCGTGAATATGATGGCGGCGAAGAGATGCGGTTTAATTTTTAAAGACTTGAATGATGCGTTATGATACGCTCATGATGTTGGACCTAGAAGTAGAATTGAGCATAGGTAGGGGTAGGAGTGAGCTCACAACAATGGGTAGCTTCTCCGTTCGCACCACTATTGGCGGTGTCGAGTTGGACATCCAATTTCACGTAGTTAGGGAGAGAGACATCAGCTACGCGTTAGTAATCGGCAATAATGTTTTGAAGCAGGTCGATCTGGTCGTTACGGAAGAGTGCGCCGAATTTAAGAGGAAAGTGCATCAAGAACTCGAACGGGCAGCAGAAGACAAGTACGGCGGGACATGTTCCGGGAAAGAGGTAGCAGGCAACACGATGGGTGTCGACAAGGCGCATGGAAGCGCTTCTAGGCGTGGAGATGCGATAGAGCTACGGAAGCACATCGAGGCGCAGGAGGTGTTGGCGTTTCGGAGTGACGGTAAGGCCACATGGGCATGGTGGGATGTTGCGTAAATCAGCGAAGAAAGACAACGGGGGCGTCAGCGTGCGCACTGTAGTCGCTGTGGACCCAGTACCGGGGAATAAAGAAAGTCGAGCTACCGAGCTGATCGACGAGTTTGGAGACTTCTGTCTTATGGCTGGCATACAAGATGCACCAGAGATAGAAGCTGACTTGTCCCACTTGAGAAAGGAAGATGCAGATGTAGTAAGAAGTCTGATAGCGGAATGCAAGCCCGTCAGAAATCTTGAGGCACCTGTAGAAATGAAGATTGTGCTAACCGACGATAAGCCTGTGTACGAAAGGCCGAGGCGGATGTCCTACGCGGACAGGTGTGAAGTGGAGAAGCAGGTATCAGAGTGGCTCGAAGCAGGCGTAATTCAACCAAGCAGCTCAGAATATGCGTCGCCAGTGGTGTTAGTCGCCAAAAAGGACGGAAGCAACAGTCTTTGTTGCGACTACCGGCGCTTAAACGAAAGGATCCTAAGGGACAACCTCTCGATGCCCATGATGGATGACGTCATCGAACGAATGCAAAGTTTCAATGTCTTTACAACGCTGGATCTTGTGAATGGATTCTTTCATGTTCCAGTAGCTGTCGACTCGAGGAAATACACCGCGTTCGTGACACACAATGGCCAATATGAATTTCGATTTGTACCGTTCAGGATTTCAAATTCACTAGCCGTGTTCTCCAGATTCCTTTCTGCCGTCTTGAGAGACCTAATTCGCGACGGAACCGTCGTAGCCTATATGGATGACCTGACGATTCCCTCCAAGAATGAGGCAGAAGGCATCCATAAGCTGAAGCTAGTATTGAAGACAGCAACGGAAAGTGGTCTACAGATTAAATGGAGTAAATGCCAACTCCTGATGAGAAGAATAGAGTTCCTTGGTTATATTATCGAGAACGGTTCACTAAAGCCTTCAGATAGTAAAACTGCCATCAAAAACCTCCCCGTGCCACGCGACCGAAAGACATTACAACGTTTCCTGGGATTAACGTCATATTTCAGGAGATTTGTCGAAAATTATGCCACCATCGCCAAACCATTATCAGACCTGTTGAGGAAAGATGCAAGGTTCGAGTTGAGATGAGCAGCTAGCGGCAATCCAGCAATTGAAATCGGCCTTGGTGCACTCGCCAGTTCTAAAATTATATAATCAGCGACCGAGGTCCACACGGACGCGTGTATGTACGACTACGGTGCAGTTATGTTGCAGAAAGACGTCGACGACCAAGAACTCCACCCCGTGCAATACATGAGCCGTAAGACTAAGCCGTGTGAGGAGAGGTACGAGTCATATGAGCTGGAGATATTAGGGATCGTGGAAGCCCTCAAGAAAGGGAGAGTGTACCTGGCAGGACTGCAACGCGTTCACCATGACAATGAAGAAGCGAGATATCCCATCAAGAGTATCCCACTGGGCGATGTTCCTGCAATACTTCAATTATGAGATCGAGCACCGCAGTGGAACGAAAATGCGTCATGTGGATGCGCTGAGCAGAGTGCCATGCCTTATGTTGGAAACTCGCTAATTCACCGATTGAAAGAAGCGCAATTACGCGATTACGATTGGATACGAGCGGTCCGGAAGGTGCTGGAAAAAGAAGAGTACGAGGACTTTTATATAAAGCACGATATCCTGAATAAAGACCCCACGAAGGAGCTCATAGTTGTACCATCGCCCATGGAAGACGAGATCATCCAAACGGCGCACAGACAGGGGCACTTTTCCGCCAAAAAGACCCATGAGGTGGTGGAGAAATCGTTCTAAAGTCGGCTAGGATAGTGAGGAGCTGTGTGGAATGTCTGGTTACAGATACAAAAGCGGGGAAGAAGGAAGGGTACCTTAATACCATCGATAAGGAGGACAAACCACTGGCCACTTTCCCCATTGACCCTGTAGGTCCGATGGAATCAACCAAGAAAGCTTATAATCACATACTGGTGGTGGTGGATGCCTTTTCGAAATTCGTTTGGCTATATCCTACCAAGACCACGGGCGCAGAGGCAGTTGTCGATCGTCTGCAGAAGCAAGGAACGGTCTTTGGCAACCCCAGGCGTATTATTACTGACCGAGGCGCGGCCTTTACGTCAACCATCTTCAAGGAGTATTGCGAGAGCGAGGGAATTCTGCATCTACTGAGAGCGACGGGTGTGCCGAGAGGTAACGGCCAAGTAGAGCGTATGCATCGAATCGTCGTCCCTATGCTGGCCAAACTGTGTAACGGAAGCAAAGGAGTTGGTACAAACACGTAGATCGAGTCCAGCAGCTCATCAATAGCTCCCCACCGAGAAGTACCAAACACTCGCCGTTCCGAATACTGACGGGCCTGGAAATGCGCGTCCAAGGAATGCCTCAGTTGCAGGAGCTACTAGAGGAAGCAGCTGTGGACGAACTTGAAGCAGATAGAGAAGCGGCGCGCCAACAAGCGCAGGAAAACATCGCCGCTATCCAAACCGAAAATCGACGAACCTTCAACGCACGCCGTCAAGCCGAAACAGTCTACAGTTGAACGAACCTGGTAGCCATAAAGCGGACTCAGTACGGAACAGGACTAAAACTGAAGCCAAAATTCCTCGGGCCGTACAAAATAGCCAAAATAACGGACCATGGCCGGTACAAAGTCACCAAAGTCGGAGATCATGAGGGCCCCAACCATACTGTTTCTGTCGCCGAATTCATGAAAAGATGGAACACTCCATTCGAGGCAGAATAGACGCTCAGGATGGCCGAAATGTAGGACGACATCTATCCCTCAACTTGTCAAGATAGTTGAAGACAACGACGCGACACCTACAGGACTTTAAGAGGAAAACACAATACAGATTTCATGTAGGCTTTACGTGATTTCCTGCCAACGGCTTTAACCACGGTGCCCGCATTTGGCACAACGGATTAATTTTTGCATTAATCAGTGCCCTGAACTGCAAGCAATTCAGTACCAATTGGCAGTATGTGGTGGACACACTTACCACCTTGGTAGGGCCGAGGCCTACCTAAACCTCTGACGATCTGTGGATCACGACATCCGGTTGTAATGCAACTCCACATTGAACCATTGCTGGTTCTACCCGCATTTAGGTATTAAACCACAGCCACCACGATACTCCCCAAAGGGGCCGTACCCATGAACAGACCGGAGTAATGCTCGCCGGCGAGATTTGCTGGACTGGCTCAACTCACCCCGACCCACTTAACTGACTCAGCTCACACTAGAACGACTTACACGACTACTTCACTCCACATTCATACTCCGTCTTGCTCGTCTCACAAGTCTAATCGCCTCGCTCGTGGGCACCCTCCACATCCAGGGGCGGTGACACCACTTGACCGATCGAGTTGCTCGACACACATTCACCATCTTGCTCCGTCTTGCTCATCTCACACGTCCTACTCGCCTCGCTCGTGGGCACCCTCCACTTCCAGGAGCGGTGACACGGCTCAGCTTTCGCAACGGATCGAATTGCTCAACTTGCGCACAACTTTTTCACCATTTCCAGCGGTTTCCACCACACTTTTGCTCCAATTACAACTGTTTTCTCCATTATCTCCATTTTCACCATTTTCTCCATTTTCTAGTCGTGTAAGCCATGCCAGTGTTTGCCTTGCCTGCCTTGCAAGCCTTGTTTGTGTCACCAGTTTTGCTCGTCTCGCCGACGAAAACACTCCGGGGGCATCTGTTCCCCGTGGCACCATTTTTAAAGTCTTTGGTATGACTCTCGAAAGCCGTAGACTTCTTCCAGTTGAACCTCCACCGACTCAGGACTGGTAGCCTTTAACTGGGGTAGACGGGGTTGTCAAGCCCGTACCCTGGAAATACCAAAGCCCCCTGTCTTCCCTCCTGTTTTCTCAAACCGGGCTTGGGACCGTCTAAGGCACAGTTGAAAACACAATACAATTAGACTGAATATACCGATCGACAGACACTAGGAAACGAACGGACCGTACGAAGAGTATCCATTTGGTCAGAATATTGTAAGCCGCCGCCAAGCGCACATCGCAGTCTACTTTGTATTCGAATAATTTTTATGTGTTAACTTTTAATAAAAGACTTA